GTAGTCGTAGTAGTAGTCGTAGTATGTAACCAGTCTTACATTTTGACCTCCAAGGTGGTGCCGGTGAGAGAATTCCTCTGTGCGTTGTTCAACAATAAACAATTCGCAGCGTGCGCGTTACCTAAAAGCCGAATTATCCTGTCTCTCATTCCCCCTTTGCAGCCATATGTATGTACATTGAGCACTATCTGACAAGAAAGGGTTGTTACGTTATCCTAGCTGGGCGTAACCTCCTTGGTTTTAGAAAGGTTTAGCGAGCGTTGGGCCGCAGTGCCATGAATACAGTGAACTAGTATATACCACGAACTCGAGGTGGTTAAAAGTGGGAAGTAGACCCGAAGCGCAAGCCGTAAGAAAGTGTGCATGTGTCACCTCTCGTTTAGTCCTTGGCAATGGCGTTGCTTCTATATGAGGAATATATGATGAAAAGATGCGAGATGGTGGTACTTGAAGTGTTGAATAGGTGGACGAACGGACACAGAGACAGATGCATGGACGGACGCATGGAAGGCTGCATGGACGGATGGACGCATGGACGGACGCAGGAGCGGATACATGGACGAACGCAGTGATGGACGCACAGATGGACGTGCGGACGCACGAACAAACGCACGCACGGATGGGCGGATGGACGCACGGGTGGCCACACAGACGAACGCGTGGACGGACGGAAGCAAGAACGAATGGACGGATGGATGCTTCGCCCCACTCTTCATCATTCACTCCGTAGATATGCTGCCATTTTTTTTTTTTTCAAGTCGGTTTTTCTTCCTGTAAGCACAAGCAAAATCGAGGTGTACCTTAGGAGTCAGTACTTTCCCCCGTATTATTCAACATATTGATTAGTACCATCCCCGTTCTGCCGGATGTGAAAAACCTGTGCTTAGGCTGACAACATTGCTTTCTTTAAGATGGCAAATGACATCCAGTGTCTGTACAATATCTTGCAAGCATATCTAAATGAACTAGAACATTGGCTGAATGGTTTGATGTTGAACCTGAATAACAATAAATGTGCTATTCTCGTTTTTTCTGTTGAAGAACCCGTGCACATATCTAATTATTATAAGCTCCAAGGTATCCCACATGTACAATCATTAAAATACTTTGGAGCTGTGTATAATGAACATCTCAATTGGCGCACTCACATTGAATACATTTCGACAAAAGCAGTACGCGCAATGGGCGTATTGCGGAGGTTTAGCAGCTATAGATCAGAGAAAAAAAGGAAGGCACTTTCGATGATATATAAAATGAATGTCCGACCTGTGTAAAAGTTCGGCTGCATTATTTTTTTCTGGTTTACCAGCCTACAAGCTCTGGTCGCTCGTTCTATTGGAAAAAGAGGCTTTACGACTCTGCTTAGTGCTTCCAAACTATACTGCAAATGCAGTGTTATACCTTGAAGCACGAATACCAACCCTTTATTGTCACTTTAATTTTCTTACTGTGCAGACTTTTTTTACGATTATAGGAAGCAACCTTTTATCCTGATCAAATAATTTTTATTTCCAATCCTGACTTATTTTTCTCTGAGAATTGGCTCAGATGACACAAACCACTAATAGTATTTGTTCAATCGTTACTTGAACCTTTAAATGTACAAGTTGGTGATCTGCTTCCTTTAACTGTGAAACACAGTTCTTCAGAAATTGTTTACCATATTATCTTCCCAACTCACGCCAAGCTATTACCTATAGGCATTTTAAATGGTTTATTGCAAGAACATTTAAGTACTCTACCAACAAATGTGATTATTGCAACGGATGCATCGCAATCAGATGGAAAATCAGGCTTTGGAATATATTGTCCTGTACATCATTGGTTATTTTCACTTCGCTTACCAGATTTTCTCCCTGTCTTTCTGGCTGAATTTATGGCAATTATATTAGCTTTTTGCAAGGTAAATACTTCGATTCCAGTCGTACCAAGCGTAACTGTATCGTTATTTGTAGATTAATTAATTAATTAATTAATTAATTAATTAATTGATATGTGTGATTTTACATCCCAAAACCACCATATGATTATGTGAGACGCCGTAGTGGAGGGCTCCGGAAGTTTCGACCACTTGTGTTACTTTAACGTGCACCCAAACCTGAGCACATGGACCTACAACATTTCCGCCTTCATCGGAAGTGCAGCCGCCACGGCCGGGATTCGAACCCGTGACCTGCGGGTCAGAGGCCGAGTACCTTAGCGACTAGACCACCGTGGTGGGGCAAATGACTCGATATTCGTGTTCTCTCCTCTGTCCACATCCGGTTGCTCACCCATACTGAAACTTTTTTAAATCATTGGTTCCCTGTCATCTCGGAAGTATTCATTTATTCGGGGCACCAGGTCACAAAGGTCTGTTGATAAATGAAATGGCTGATTTTTTTGCGAAGACATTTCTTTCGGCACCAATTATTCCTATTTTCCCACCTACAGCCCACATTACGGTGGTGTGACATTGCATGCTTAAGATCAGGCGAAATTTATCAGACCCTGCACTGACGGCTTCTCCGGAGTTCAACCACTTGTTATTTCCCTCGCGCAGTGAACTGTCTGATTCAAGGATGATGGAAGTTGTCATCACAAAATTTCGTTGCCACGTTACCTCCCTCAATTTCTACTTGCATAGATCCGGTTTATTGAATTCTCCTATGTGCATTTACTGTAATCAAGAGAAAACTATTAGTCATCTTTATTATATTGTCGCTGTTTCCGTTTATTCAGGAAAAGCTTACTAGCACCACCTCTTCAGAAACTGGGCTTGCAATTATGAGAACCTGCTCGTCTTTCAGTTGTAGCCTCTACACTGGGGTACAGCCACAGGGATGTCTTATTCGCCGTTCAGGAATACATCACTCCGACTAAACGATTTTCTTGCTAAATTGTGGGCTCACTACTTTTTTTTTTCAAATTCGCAATTGGCCCTTCAAATCATAATTAAATAACTAGCGCTTTTAGGAATGAAGTAATGCAGAAAGCATCGGACAAATTCACCTTATAATTGGTCAATCCCCTCTTTTGGGTATGAGCCGCGTACAAAGAAAAAAACAACAACAACAACAACAACAACAACAACAACAACAACAACAACAACAACAACAACAACAACAACAACAACAACTCCGCACTAGTGGTGCCAAGCGCGAAGCATGCCGACCTGTATGTTTGTCTTTACCAGTGGCACGTACCTACTTTGGGGGATTGGCCAATAATTAGTGGTTGAAAATGGGACAGTTCATTCGAAAGTGTTAGGAGATATGAAATAGTTCAAATAGTAACGATACGTATTACAATGAATTAAGACTACAAGCGACATACTTTTGAGATCATATATCAGAATGTCGTAAAATCCTGGTCAGAACAATTTTGAAGGGATTAGTCAAGTTCTACCGCATTTTAATAACAAAGATATTTAAAGGCGACACTAAAATGGCACCCGTTTGGTAGTTTGCATGAAAAACGCATCAAAGACCTCCCGGTGGCAATATCCCAGACCTGAGGCGCCGAAGTTTAAAACAATTTCTTCGGTTAAGGCTAAGTGGCCTGCCTCGAATCTCTTTACTTGTCTTTTTTTTTTCTCTTCCTTTCTCTTCTTCTTCTCTTTCTCTTTCTGTTTTTCTATATCTTTTTGTGTTTTTTACTACTTCTGTTTTAGCTTTTGCTATTTCTCACTTCCTTTTTTTACTGTTCTCTTCTTTCTCTTTCTTCAATTATTTTTTTCTCTCTCTTTGTAATTCTTTCTCTGTCTTCCTATCTCATAAGCCCTTTAATGGGCCCTGCTTGTCATCTGTAGATCTCATGTGACGTCATCACGCTCAAAATCAGTCAATAGAGGCCTCAAAAAAAAAAAGAAAAGGGTGCCAATTCTTAAAACCATGGTAATATGAAAGAACGAAGTCTAAAATTAAATCATTTTGAGAAATAACCATAATCAAGACATATTTGAAATAATTACCTCAATAGCATTAAAAATGTTTCGGAAACATGCGGCTCACGCCCCCGCCACACACGAGAGGGCGCCACTTACTCTTCAACTGCACGATTGCTTCTTTCACCGGCGCTCCTCCGGCGCCTTCGTCACTGGCTGTGCTCCGATTCTAAGACAGCGTCGTAGACAGTTTCCACTGACAGCTTAGAAGACAGCATCGAGCCCATGTTGTCCGAAAAATGGAACACGTCTTGACGGTTTCTACGCGACGAAGCTCCACCTCGCGTGACGAAAACTAGAATAAACAAACGTAACGGTTATTTTTCTCACTTATTTTGTGCTAAAATTTGAGGAAATGTGAATGTGACACACACTTAGCGTCTGGAGAAGCGTCTGCTTGTGTGCAGGTGACCATTTCGGCGAGATCAGAGCGCTTCGAGCCATTCGCTGAGCCGCCATCTTATTTGGACAGCAAAGTAGCCTGCATCGTATATGTCCACGATGCCGTCTTTTCTAAGCTGTCTATTTCGCCGGCTTCGTGCGAATCGGAATGGGACTTAAAGGGCCCGTAAACCACCTCTGATATTTTTTCAAACATTTTAACTAAACGCGCGCATCGTGTGCACACTGCGATGAACGATTAACGATTCTACACGTGCCAGCGCTACGAGCCGCCGGCGTGCCAAAAATTTCAAGAAACAATCCCTCCTTCTTTCCGGGCCTTTCGTATCTCCGCGTGACGCGCCGTTTCAATACCGCTGACGCGCTGACCCAAATAGGCGGTGACTGATCTAACAAGAGCCTACGACTTCCGGTCGGTCTGCAAGCCGCTGGTCGCGCTGCTTGTAGTTGTGGCGGCAGCGGCTCCTCATTTCGGGTGGAGGTTGTCGCGCGGCGTGTCCCTGTCCCTACCGGCATGATTCGTATAAGCACGGCAAGCGTGGTTCGCCAACAAGCACACAGCTACAATGCAATTGATGGAGTCGACACACGGACGGAGTCGCAGCAACCGGAAGTAGACGTGTTTCAAGCAGCGCGTCAGCGATGACGTATGCCACGCGCGATTCGGAGGGACATGGGAGGGGCGCTCGGCAAAAAGGCAAAGCAGCGTAGGAGAGGACACCAGCGGCGGTTAGCGCAGGAGAGAGTGAAATGAGTGATCGTCGTAGTTTCCATAATCAAACGCGTCCAACTCCACTATCACGGCATCATTTTGAAACATTCTCCCGGCTCCGTTATCGTCGTGCACTCGTGCACAATTTCCCCACCACAGCTGAATCTCCACCTCTGGGTGGTTTACGGACCCTTTTAAATGGCTGTCCATTTAGCCGTCCACGGTGAGTATCGGAACACACCCACTACATGTTAAGAGTCAAACAAACTCACCAAACTCGCTGCAGACGACAGGTATCTCAACAGCCGTAACACGCAGGAAGTCGAGAAAGTGCATCAAAGTTTAGCACGTATGTCCTACATGGAGTATGAGAATTTACCTTACAAGATTCTTGTCTTGCTGGGGAAACCCTACGTGCTTGTTTCAAACAGTGACGTCATTGACAGTTTTGTAAACGGAGCAGCGAGAACTTTACGTACGGGAATCGCTGGGTGCCTATGCTATACGCACACTCTCTCTCAGGTTTGAAGGTCTTGGAGCAGCATTTAGGGTAAGATTTAGAGTTCCACCAATCACTACACAGTTTGTCTGTCGTTTGTCATTCTTGCTTCATTTTTCTCTTTTTTACAGTTCCCGTTCTCTCGCCGGTCAGTGTTATTGCATATCACGCTAGACCAATCGGCGCATGTGTTCAGGAAGTGAAGCAGAAGATGAAAGAAAGGATGAAAAAGCATGTGCCAATTCAAAATGACGATAGTTTTTTGTTCGCTCTGAACCCACTAGCGAATGGCTCTAACAGGGCAGATGTTTTAAAAATATATGAATAACTGTTGAAGTTTTGCATAGCAGAACTGTGGCATGGTTATGAGAAACGTTGTAATGGAACGCTCCGAAAGCTTTCAGCTTTCCGGTGTTCATTAAGGTGCACTTAAACCTAAATAAATGGGTCTCGAGCATTCTCCGCTGCACCGTAACTTTTTAGTCATGCCTCTCATTATTAATGTTCTAAAACTTTTGAAATACCACCACAATGAATTTGAAAGAAATGAATCTAGTGAGAAGCTGTCCCTCATTTCTTTTTCATTATGGTCACTGGTCATTGCTATACAATTCTGTATAATGAGGAGTATATTAATTTCTACATTTATTGTTGTATCTCTAGGAATCATTTGCAGCCATAAGTTTGGTGTGAAAGTCCTTTATTTGGTTAAATTTGTATTTACTGAAGGCATAATTACAACAATTCCTGCATCTCGGCACCCCTCAGAGTACTGGGTAACAATCATTGCTTGCGACAAGAAAAAGAAAGCTGCGACTTGGGGTAAGTGACTGCCGTTCTCTTATCCGTGCAAGTGTTTACGTTTAGGTATCTATGCTTTTTTTCAAACAGGGGGGATAGATAGTTGAAAAGTCTTATGCCGCGTAGCCTGCATGATCTAATGACCAGAGCTCCATCACCGTAAATGTTCATTTTCTGGCAGCCTTAGCTGTAATATATCCAACGTTAGGGTTAACTGCAACTCACCTAGCTCTAGTATAACACTGTAATATTCAAATGTATTAGGAATACTTACAATGTAATAGATTATTCTGATTGCATTTTTTTCAATTCGCGTGATCTGTGTAACCTAAAAACAACGAAGCTACTAAAAATATCGGAAACTGAGATAAAACAAATGAAACTACGGCGGGATTCGTCATCATAATCGTTACACAATCCGTATTGGGGCTCAATCGCAAAGTGCGTGAGTGTATGTAACAATTCATGTCGGAACTGGTGTCGGGCTTTATTCGCAAAGGAGACAGCCTAGCTTTCATCACCTGCCCCAAGAAAAACCCTGCTTCTTTTTTAATTGGAGATGAGCAGTGCATTACCGACTTAGATGCGACCAATAATATATGACAACTATCTCAAACTGAAATCATTAGAACAAATATATTCGCGAAAAAGATATCTTGCACTGTAACATTGTTTAGCATTTTCGACTCTATCGAACGAACTTGTGTCGTGATTACGCAGCTGTGATCACACTCCGTCGTCCAACCGAAACTTACGCACAGCGTTCGACAGGAACCCTCGAACAAATCACCACATCAGTCTGAGACCGTTGAACAAAGAGCGCGACGCTCTCTGTTTCATTATTCTGCTTCATTGTTTAAACGCGCAATGTTGTTGGCCGACTGACCTGTTTCACAACTCTTAGATACAGTTCACGGACGTTTCGTGAATTGCCGCAAGGAGATCTCACTCGACATTATCATAGAACTGAGGAATGCCCACCGCCTGTAGCGTTCTTGAAAATGCTATCGTAAAAGCTATACTTTGCAGCCTGGCATTCTAACGTCTCAGGTATATACTGTGTCGCGCTCAACATCACAAATTATCAACATATGGCGTTTCTTGTGGAAAAATATCAGCTGTGAACAGTTGCTCCCTAACGCTTATAATGTACACTCTGAATGATGTTTGCTAAAAGGAAAATGTCCGTTAAATTCTTTAAATTAGTGTATTTTTCAGATCGCCTCGCAAGACTGAAGTCAGGCAATGAAGCCTCACGTTCAGTCGTAAGTTTTAACTCGCTTAAGTGACTTATCTTCAGTTAGTATCACTATTTATCAGTTATCACCAACTTCATTCTCACGTTGTCCGAGAAGCTCATGGAAGTCATACAACTAACCATTTAGCTCATACTGGTTGATTAATTATTTAATTAATTAATTAAATCATTATTTGATTGATACATTCGTTCGGAAAGTTTGCATATATATGCAATATTTTTGTCCACTTTTTGCAGCCCCCCGAAGGGTCATTCTTCCCCGAACGAAGAGTAAGTTGCAGGCTGTTGTGGGTTTTGCGATACACAATGAACGCTTATAGCGCTTAATACGCTATATAAGATTACTAACATTGTCATGGCTGACACGACAGGTTTTACACCGTGGTACAGTTAATTTTGTGCTGTTGTAGTGTTGGCTGCGCCAAGTGTGACAAACACAAAAAAATGCCTGAACTCTTGACCGCTCAAATTCTGTTGTAGTGTATACCGTTTACTCAGTTAGCCGATGAGACGACTCACGCTGTGAGCAATGATTGCGAAACCTGTAATATTATGCCGTTGACCGAGCGGAATTTGTATAGGAGTGTATGCGGAGGGCTTTCTGTCACGCAGATTGTGCGTAGACTTTTGTTCCGCAATTAAAATGAATAGACGCGGCTTCCTTGTCTACACCGCGTTCCCTTATTTTCACGCAACGTTGATTTGGCAGGGTATGCTAATGTTTACAACAGAACTGCAGCCCTATCAAAACTTTGCGCATGACACATCCTGCACATATTGAATAATCCGTATAAACGCATGTAAATCATGCGTGGTCTCGTGTAACCGTACTAGGTTTGTGGATAGGTGTTATACAAGGCGATAGACTCAACATAGATTATTTTACGGCCACCTTCTTGGGCTGTTAACATTGCCATGCTGTACAACTCCCTATCAACTAAACGACCAGCGGATGCCCTTGTGCCAATAAAACAACGTAAAAGAACGACCAGCGGTAAGGAAAGCTCACAAGCATTAAAATGGTGAGTCGGTGCATTCGACGTTATAGGGCCTTGTTTATTTCAACTTCATGACGCAGATAACTGGGAAAACATTCGTTTATTGGTCCAAGATGACAATACCTATTATTCTAAGCTAAAATCGTGTATATACTAGCACTCGTTAAGTAAAATTTTTTTGGCGAAACGTAGTGAACTTTATTTAGCAAGAGTTTTGATTCAGTCTTCATTTCTTTTTCTTTTGTTTCATATATAGCAAGGCAAAACTCCTCGAAGCTGTGACCAAAGTGTAAGTATTACACTTATGAACGTATAATGTCGGTGGTGCTTTTGAAGTAGAATTTATGAGCTGGTATTTCCTATCAGTTTACATGGCCTAAACTGCGAATATATAAGAAAAATGAAATACAGAGATAGTATATAATGATTACAACTTCTGGGGATTTTATGTCCCGAAACCGACGTACTGTTCAGCGAACTGGGAGCGCGGGGGTAAACGCAGACACAGTGTCTGTGTTTACCCCCGCGCTCCCAGTTCGCTGAACCATCATGAATTACCAACTAGCCCATCTTTCCATCCTATTACGAGGTACTGTTATCAGGGATGACATAATACAGGGCTTCTGAAATATTGACCATCTGGTGTTCTGTAACGGGCGCATAAATCAATAAACACAGACCTTCCAGGGAATTATATTTGGAAAGCGCTTAAACAAGATAATGATATCTTGATTTTTCGCTACTGTAGAGGTGAAATCTGCCAAACAAAAATTACAACGCGCCGACTCTTCATATCTATCAGCTTGCGAAGAGATGGCTGGTTCCAGTAGCAGAAACAAAGCCCCATAGTAATGTACAGTCATCAGCAAGCTAAACGCGAACAGTTCGACGCGTGACCTTGGACTGATGCCAGCCGCGGAGCGCTGAACGTTGTGGCCGAGTGATACCTCGCTATCCAGGCATTAAAGAAACTTCGATCGAAGTAGACGACGCTCCCATGAGTGCCGCTACGCATCCTAGACTACTAGTGTGCCTGAAGTGTGCTTAGTGGTGTGCCCCCCTTAGGGTGTCGCCACTCTTTGAAGGCAGCGACGATGCCACGCAACCATTTTTTTTTTCTCAAGCGGATGTTCTCACCGTAAAGCGGACAAAGCGTGCATCAAGGCATCCTATTCTTGTTATGCGCTCGTAAGCCAAGCGCTTAACGTATCGTGACAAGGTTCGTCGCGTCACGCGATCTAAAACTATCAATTTACGGTTACAACTTGTGCATTCACACAACCTTGTCCTTTCTTGCACTGACGTCACTGAAGCCGCCATGTTGTTGCACAAGCTATAGGTTACTGAGGTCACGTATGCGTCAACGTTATCAGTGCGTCGTACGGGGGTTCGGTTTTTAGTCTGGTGTGGAGGATAAGAACGTTGCAGGTGCGTATGTGGGGCATTGAAGGAGCCTAAAAAGAGCAGTGAATGAGTGGTCTAGACGTCATTTTAGTTGTCATGCTGTTGCACCAGTGTGTTAAGAAAGCGGTGTCTTCGGCGTCGCGGAAACACCATCAATAATTTACTGTGTTCATGAAATGTTAATTTAAAGCAACGGTTGCTTGCATAGCCACTGCTCTGGAAAGGAACGCGGCCACGTGCTTCTTAACGTGCAGGTACTTCAAACCTACAGTACGGTCAACTGTTAAAGGGAACACTCTAATGAATCCAGGAGCACAGATGAAAGAACAGGGTTCATGGGCGTCACTAGTCTGTAAAGAGGAGTCAGAAATGTCTACCACCAGAAGTATTATGCAAATCTAAGCTGCTTTGATTATGTATGATAACGAAATTTAAACATGTCGTGAACGCAGGTGTTCCCTTTAACAGCAGCTCCTTCTCTACATGTGGGTGCAATTTAGTTCACTTGTTGTTAGCAGAGTCACATGCTTCCTGAGCTTTTGACTCGTATAGGCGTGTCAGGTCCACCGCAATGGTTTTGCGGTGCTCGGCTGCAGAAACTGGGGTCGTATATTCGGTCCCAGCCGTGGCCGTCGCATCTCGATTCGACGGAGGCGAAATGCTACACAGCCTTGTACTGCACGATGCCGGTTCACGTTAAGGAACACCAGATAATCAACATGTTCGGAGCCCTCCACTACAGTGTGCCTCGTAATCTCGTCGTTGTTTCGACACGTAACAAGCTAGGTATCACTAATCAGCGTGTAAGTTAGTAACACTAACCAACACGCGTCGTTTGACAAGAATGCTGTGCTTCGCAGTTCCCAAAAGAAGCCGGACACTTTCTTCAACACGTGCGTCACCGTCATCGCCGTACTGATAGTCATCACGCTCATCTGCATGACCATCATCATGCTCAAGTGCTTTACGACCAAGGACGGTAAGCCAATGTTTCGTGTTTAGTTCAGGGCAGCACACGTCTTCGTCACACATTTACTTGCGAAACAAATCAAGTCAATCGCACTTTATGCTTCAACAGTCAATTATAGAAGCACTTTTAGTTGGGCGAGTTGATACATAATTGGATAGGATTCAGCGTGATTCTGGCGAAGACCATAAGAGACACGCGCACTCCTCTGTGTTCGGTGTGTCTCCTATGGTCTTCGTCTGAATCGCACTGAAGCCTATTCAATTATAGATTGATTGATTTGTAGGGTTTAACGTCCCAAAACCACCATTTGATTATGAGAGACCCCGTAGTGGAGGGCTCCGGAAATTTTGACCACCTGGGGTTCTTTAACGTGCACCCAAATCTGAGTACACGGGCCTACAACATTTCCGCCTCCATCGGATATGCAGCCGCCGCAGCCGGGAATCGAACCCGCGACCTGCGGGTCAGCAGCCGAGTACCTTAGCCACTAGACCACCGGGGCCGGGCCTATTCAATTATAGAGTTCTATGGGTGAAACCAAGATATTGTTGCATGCATATTGACATTCTCGGGGACTATGCGCGTGTGTGCCCGACGAAAAGGACGAAGGGCTGTCTCCGCTAGGTCACTGATTAACCGGTCAGGCCGCAACTGTTGGTTACAATATATATTTTTTTAATCTACAACCTCGTTGGTACTGCGTCTTTTCTGTCACGCAACAATGGGACAGCGAGTCACGCCTCTTGTGGTGGAGTCCGGAGTGATTTTGAGCACACGAGGTTCCTCAACGTGTAAAATGGGTGGTGCTTGCTTAGAAAATAGTGCGAAAAAGACACAAAACAAACAGAAAGGGAATGCAGACAGCGCACACAGCGTAAAAACAATGCACCGCCTAAAATACAGACGATAACCACTCCCGTAATGCCACGTGATAAGACGTAGCACAGATAGGCCAACTACAGCGCAACGAAGACAAATTACAAAAAGCCTTATTCATAGATAATACAGTTCCTCGGGCAACAGTGCGATCGACGAAATGCTGATACAGTTGTCTCCCAACTGCGCAAACGCTTCAATAATTTCGCGCGTTAGGCAATCTTGAGATTTGCTCACTGCGCTTCATTTCTTGTAAAACCGGTGAACACGCGCATGACATACAGCGGATGGCTAGCCAACCATCTTGTGCACCTTTTACATAGTTGGCACGCTCTCTTATCCTATGGCCAGCACAACAACCTGTCTGACCTACGTAAGCTTTACCGCAAATTTACCGTCGGAGAGCCTCCCGCACGAACCGACACACTGTGCTTGGAGGCAGCTATGCAGCTGCCGTGCCAGTTGTCGCATGGTCACAGAGGGCGGTGGTGAGCTTCGGGCTAGAGATAGGCGCCATAACGTCACGGCAAGCTCCTCAGTGCGTGGACGGCGCCCTTACCACTGTTTACAAAAGTGGAATATACCTTGCCAAGTTACCATGGTAGGTTGAGTTTGTCCGATGCGGTAGCGATTACTCATTGCCACTTACGGCACTGATTATTGAAAGCACCGCGGAATCGACGACCACGCTTTTAACGACGCAGCATTGTGGAACATACGCCAATTGCTCCAAGTTGTTTTGTCGCGGGATATTATCAGAGGCGTCTCATTTCGACTGGTGAGTCATGCTTTACGGCGCAGTGTTGCAAGCATGCTTCGGAACGAGAGGCCCGGGTGTCAAATAACTCGTCGGAACACCCTTATTGTTCGTGCTTCTCTATAGTGCACGTACGCGGTGCGCTGACGTCGTTCGTATGTTAGTAGCGTGGGTTTACACTTGAATACATTAGATAACATTCTAGTAACCTTGACCATACCGCCATGGGAAGGGCACGTGGAGCGAAGACAATATTGTTGTCAAGGGTCCCAGATTGGATTCTGCGAGAGAGAGAGAGAGAGAGAGAGAGAGAGAGAGGAGAGAGAGAGAGCAAACGCGTGAGGAGGAGACAGAAAGTTAAAGGGGTAGATGAGATTGAAAAGCTTGCAGGTGTAAAGTGGCAGATGCAAGCGCAGGACCGGGTTGATTGGCGGCCGACACAGGAGACGCGTTTGCCCTGCACTGGGCGCAGTCAGGCCGATGACAATTTGAGGTCGGTCATAATCGCGAATACATATGGCATGCAGTGTGATCAGATGTAGCACTTCCCTCGCCACCGTGTACTTCAGTAACCGGGAGTCACTTATTCGTCATCGCAGCATGCCCAAACCCAGCGGCCATGTACAACCCGTACACCAACACGGCGCTCTCCTGTGACTCCCAGGAGTGCCGCAACTACGGTGAGTTGCTGATGGCTTGCTGATCTTAAACATCATGGCTGCTAAAAACAAAGAAAATAGCAGTGGTGAATTCTTTAGCATACGATTAGAGATGAGAACACGGAAGCGTCTCTTTTGCTTGAGTTGTTTGACGATGGTAACAGCAAAGGGATCTTGCCGAATGTTCTTATTAAGAAGGATGCCGTGCGTGAGGCCGAATTGTGTTTATTTGCATGATGTTGTGTAATCTACGAGGAATCGGCAAAAACAGTGAATCTAGCACGACCGCTGGGGGGGGGGGGGGGGGGCGTAAGCTACGTCTTCAAACAATCGCCGGTAGGTAGACCCTTTTCAAAATTGTAAAGCTAACTTCCACGCTAAGCAGTTTGCCCACCTAATGGTGGCAAGCCACTTAATTACTGCAAATAACGTATTCAAGATCAGTTTACTTGCGGGTTGACTTGGGAAATCTAGACTCGCCTCTCTTGACGCAAACGTACACAAAAGATTAGCCCCAGCACGGGCGACTAGGACCTTCTCTCTACTCGAAGCACAACAGGTGCCGCCGTCAGTTGGGTGAATGTGCAGCGCAAGGAAGCGCACATGCGAATCACGAGAAAAGTTTATGGCAGGACGTAGACGGCGGCAAAACCTGAAGGAAAACCAACATACAATGAAGCCCAAGAAAGTGTAAGGAACTTTGTTTGTGTTCTATTAACTGCACCTTAGTAATTATGCTATAAATGAGAAAGAATTAAAGTGAACGAAAAGACAGCTTGCGGCCGGTTGAGACTGAACCTACAAGCGTCGAATAATTCGAAACTATAAAGACGGCAGTTCAAGACTACACCGTTAACACACTAGAAATTACATCGAACGTACGCTTCAGCGACGCCTTCCTTTCAACTGTGAAGTAATCCATCATTGGTTGTCTGAACAACCATCAGGAACGATTTTCAAGAGGTTAACCAATTCTGGCTAGTTACCTTGCAATCATCAAAAGTCCAATGAAACCCCTGTTATTGTGTCTCTTATGATATTCCAGCTATCGTGCGCCATTACTTTAAAATACAAAGCTTTTCACTTTACGCAATGAAATCAAGAGCATATTTTGCTGGTTTGTGGAGTAACCACCAGTAATGTATATTGTTAGTAACACTTCCATATTTATCTACAACAAACTGTCTACATAAGAGCCTGCTTAGGTCGGCGAAAATTGTGGAACTCACTCACACTCACCCATAAAATATTTTTGGCCCTTAGGACTCGGACTCCGACACGTCAAAATTTTCCTGAGCCGGACTCTGACTCGCACTCACGAAAATTTTTTTTAACCTTACTCGCTCAGACTCAGGCCTCGATCTCAGTCAGAGTGAGTACATGTGAGTCAATTTATGAGTCCGCAAGTCCAGAATCAGCTTGTTCGACCATGGTGTCGATGCTCTTCGACACGAAAGTCTCACGTAATCGATGCTATACTTGACGCCTTTTGATATATTACCTTTGACATCAAGATATGAGTGGTTTCAAACGAGTAAGGACAATTTTTTGGAAGAAATGACAACATAAGATATTTACTTCTAAACAACTTCCTGGGGAGAGTTGGTGGGGAGGGGGGGGGAGTCATTTTTCTACGTAATTCACACCTCTAGTCGATAAATATTGAAATGGTGTATGACTGATACTGTTTTGAAACACGTGAGTAAACGTGAATTTCGACATGGCTGGTAGTAATGCTGAAGACAAGTAGATAGGAGTCAGTGTCCTAATTAATAATTTTCAAGGCATCATTTAGGTTTTGAGATATATAGCTGGTATTTTATCGACGTACTGATTGATTTCCTACATTTTGTGGCTGAGTAAGGAAGCAAAAAAAAAATGACATGACTGCAATGCAGTGGGCATGAGAAAGTATTGTGGAAAGTAGAGCATCGAAGCACTGGCGGTGCCTGAAGATGGTGGTTTCTTCTTTTCAAGATATAGCTCCTAGTTGCATATGGTTCTGTTCTCAGTTGGTTCTAAATGGGTTAAATTAGGTTAGGTTGGAATAATTTATAGGCTGGGTTAGGTAGGAGCGCGATCTTGTCACGCGAAACAGTTTCTACACCATAGAGACTTCGATCACTACGCATGCATGGAATCGCAGTGTACTTGTGAGCTAGTGTATTCGTGCGAAGTGTATTCATCGTAGTGTATTCAATGCGCAGTGTATGCATGAGCCCCATTTCTCGCTCAGTGAACATCCTCCAGTCGAGCCAAGTGGCGTCGATGGAGCCGTGCGAGGACTTCTACGAATTCGCCTGCGGCGGCTGGACCAAGGCTGTCGTGGTGCCGCCGGACGAGGTCACCGCCTCCGTGCACACCAGGCTGCTTCGGAGGGTCGAGAGCGAGATCGGAGGTGATTCTCCTCGCTACCACGTGTTCGACTGTAGATCTATTCGGCTATACGTAGTCAGACGCAATTCTCGCTGAAGGCTGGAGAGGATCTGCCCAGGATAACGAAAGCGTGGCAGCCATGTTGCCTACGCGACTGGAGAAACTAGCCCCATTCATGTACTCGTCGATGTTGTTCCACAGCAGGGGTCACCGACCATCCGGCTTATGACGTCAGCATAGACCGCGCGCTCGCTAGTGCAGGCTTGTGTGTATGTGCCCTTAATTGAGGTGGAAGCACCACTTCCTTCTAAAGTGGAGGCCAACTGCTAATCTTCTTTTTACAGCAGGCGCAACAGCGTGGGCGTGTAAATGTACGTGGAACGATGCACGGCGCGTACCTTCTATCGTAGGCGTGTGCACGGAGGGGGGGGGGGGGACGCTAATTCCATAAGTCATGTAAGAGGAGGGGGGAACGCAAAGTCAGACCCCTCTGCATATTGTAAGCAAATTTAGCGCAACTTAGGCATCCCTACAAACATTCCCACACATTCACACGCTTCACTAAGAAAGACGCACCACACGTAATTGCTGTGCGGTGTGTGTTTCTTGGGTGGAATGTGCGGAGGTGTCGTGTGTGTTTCTTGACTGTGAATGTGTAAGTGTTTCTAAGGCTTCCTCAATTATGTGTTTGTAGGGATCCCTAAGTCGTCCTAAATTTACTTACAATATAGCGAGTTGCCAATCAGCCCAACAACAAGATATAATCAGCCATCTACATTGACATGGAGAATGACTCTCCTGCAAATCTTCTTCCCCCTCCCCCCTTTAAGGGGAACACTGGCACGCCTATACCTTCCATATACAATGTGTACATGTTGTTGTGCCTTTGATACAAGAATTAAGGTGTAGGCCATGTATAGCCACCATAGCCTTTATAATTTATCCATCCGTGTTCAGGAAAGGATATATATGAGCACTGACTGGCGTATTAAGCAAGTAAGGAAAAAGAAAACTCTTTACATACAACGTTTCTAGTGCAGGACCACTTTGGAAAGGGCAGAACCAAAATTGATTTTTTTTTGTTATCGGGGAAAGGGCCAAACTGCGAATGCATAAAATAATTCGCTAGATAAAGCGAAAGAAGCTTTTTAGCTTCTCCTGTGGGTTTCGGCTTAGCGCTGCTCCGCTTCCCATCTCTCGATGCAACGGGATCACTTAAACGATGCCGTCTGTGCAGCGAGGCATTTCTCTTATATTTCATGGAGGCTCATACTATACACCATTACTCCTAAGAAAGAAACGTGGAGGCTGCTCAATGTTTTAACAATATCCCGCAAAACCGTGCAGAAGCGACCAGCCCGTTTTGACGGGCTCGCTGTTGTAGTAGACACCATACCGAACGCAATTAAAGGGGTCATGAATCGGCCGCTTTACAACGACAATGCGGCACCATCGGCAGCTACATGTGCTAACTGTCACATCAGCCCGAGTGGACCTGCATAGACGCTTTGCTTATCGAGGAACGTAGAACTCTATGGCATATCGAGCACGCGCAAAAGGCGCTCATCAGCGTCTGCCATAAGCAATCCGCATCCCACATGGACGCTGCTTAATAAGACGTCAGAGTTCAAGTTGGCGCCGATTGCGTATGAAAAGACGCTGATGAGTGTCCCAGTTGCACGCACTCGCAAGTACCGAAGAGTTACTTCGGTACTTGCATGACTTATGATGACGTCACCTAGTTAGTGCGTGTGAACCCCGGTGGCTTCGCATTGTCGCTTTCGAGCGGTCGTTTCACGACGCCTTTAACGTGCACCAGACCAGCAGCCACATGGCGTATTAGCTTCATTTCTTCAAAAAAGCTTCTTTCTTGCAGAGGTGCGTGCATTTTTTTCTCACGCGTATGTACTTCTTGCTTCAAGCAGAGACCCTCAACAACACGGTGGTCACGTATCGGTACCAGACGGCGACGCAAAAGGCGGCTGCGCTGTTCCAGTCCTGCATCAACGTCGGTGAGCGTGCCTGGCCATGAAGACGTGTAGAAATTTAAAGTGTTGATTTTCAGTCTCAGTCTCCCCCCTGCCAAATTACATATAGTTACAGCTGTCATTCTGATATATTCGAGTGTACTTGCGTTTATGTTTTACTTACATGAAACCGTTAGCTGGGAGGCTATACAGGCTGTCGGTTTGTAATAGGTGCATGTATACGGCACAGGCATAGAGTAATATAGGTAAACGTTCTTTATAGCACAGGTAGCAATGAATGTTGAGTACCAAGTACTCAAAATCGTTAAACATTTTTTTCTAAACACAGCGATGAATGTGCTTTCTAGTCCTGATTTGTAAGGGTCGGTCTGTTGGTGTCATTGGATTTCAGGGGACAGGGACGGCTCACTGCCCTTCCATGGTTGATTACGAAGTACTCGAAATCATCAAACACCTCTTCTAAACACAATAGTTTCATGCGCCATCTGGGACGCCGTAATGCTGCCTCATGGGCCATGGTAGACTACGAAGTACTCTGACTCGTTAAAAATTTTTTCTAAACGCAGCTTATTGCGTTCCCATAGTAGAGTACGTCATTCTAAATGCAGTACTAAGGTTAGTAAGCGAAGTGCTTATTATGTATGCCCTTTTGTACACTGTGTAAATAAGGTTTCTCTACAGAGTACATCGACCTATTTACATATATTACCCCAGGCTCTTATGGTTCCTTGAAACTGGGACAGCTTATTACTAGAGTACATCGTAAATGAAATCATCAAACATTTCTTCTAACTCAACAGGTATCACTCGTTAAACCACGTTCATCATTGTTAACGTAAAATGTTTGGCTGAACTGTTGGTCATGTTCACCGTCTGTAATAATTTCTAAAGCACGAATGCCGTATTCGCACCAATCTAGTCCATCATGGACTAGATTGATGCAAGATCATGGCAAGTTGCAAGGCTTGCAACTTGCAGGTTATTTCTTGATGCTGATTTCGCATATGAGCCAAATAGCAACGCGCACGCAAGCCTCAGGGCTGCCTTTAACGAAGGAAACTGGGAGTTATAATAGTGCAAATATGGTATCTATCTGAATTGATATCAACATCATGTACTACGTTTTACGGGACAAAATGGCGATACGACTTGGAGGATCGCCGTAGTGAAGGAACGCCGGGTTAATTTTGATATAACATGGGGTTCTTTAACGAGCATCTAAATTTAAGTACACGGTTGTCCGTAGCATTTCGTCTCCGTATAAATGTCGTAACAGGGAATCAAACCCGGGTCCTCTGGCTTAGCAGCACGGCACTTTACCTGCTATTCCATATACCACGGCTGTGAGTGGGAAAATGAAACTTAACGAGAAGTTACGCATTGCGAAAGGCTTCATTAGCGATTCCGCAAAATATCCATCTCAGACCGCGAGTTGTGTAGTGTCCAAAGACAATTTGGGCCTCAAATTGAGTGTGCAAGCCGAAAACGAGTTCTCATTGAAACCAACATGATGCATTTTGAATGGAACGTTGTGCGCAAGCGCACAGTATCATACGCCGCCTCCTTACGGCAAACTTATAAACTTGCATAGCTTGAAATTAGGAATCAAAGCAAGCGCGCTTCTGTAGTAGTCTGTACTGTAGCTATTGCTCCGTGTTTACATATTTTTAAAAATCTGATAAGCACCCGTTGATAAAGCTTTTGACAGTTCGGATTTATTCGGTAAACTCCAATTTTAAAATAGCATTTTCAAAACAAAGATTGGTGCTTTGACCGGGGCGAACATTCATAACAAACGTAGGCGTTTTGTCTTCAAGTGTCCGTGCTTGTATGCACGTATGTGTGCGTCATTCCGACCTTCGAGACGTTTAAAATACATTTGGTATACTTGGATGTATTCGCGTTCAGATATAACTTCATGTAAGATTTCACAGTGTTTGGAATGATGATGTTATTAAGCCCTTTGTTTTCCTTCACTAAGATATGAGAGAGAACAGGCAGCTTGCCTAACTCCTGACCCCCGGAAGTACACTTTTGTGAGATTACAGCAGCGCGGAAATGCAGTGCTGTGCAGCCTCAGTAACAGAATATCCAAATAGCAAGTAAAAAAATGAAAGTATTGAAAAACAAGATTATCGATCAGCAACAAAGCGACACCTTTTAATTAGAAACAAACTTAATCAGAGCACATTATATATATAATGTGAAACTAAACGTCGAATTTCGCAGAGTTGGGTACTCACGAGAACTCAACTTTGATGAATGCCGAATATTCTCCCACAAAATTAACTGCGAAAAACACCCTCTGAATTATAGGGAAAGCTAAAATCCATAAACACTGAGCCTTATGACTATAGCACATTATGCAATATGCATTTGAAATAGTACGAATTTTCCCTAATTGAGACCATAAGGTCAAACTGGGTCACATCACTGATTATCTGGGCAAGTAAATCACATTCGAGGGAGGAATCGCCTGTGAACTTACCTTTTGTTTGTTACTATATAGATGTCATTCTAAACGTTCTAAGCAAGCAGCGAAAAAAAAACAGTCATTACTATCGCATTGAATCGTCAGAAAGCATCGCAGATTTTCGAAACTCGTCAACCCGTAGACAATGACTTAGCTTTACCAGTGCAACAGCAGCAGCAGCAGCAGCCAAACGGCTGCAGAGCATGCACTCACATTCGCTAACGTTTTCACGCAGACATGCGCAACAGCAAGGGTACGCGACCGCTAGAAGAACTTCTGTCGTACGTGGGCCTCCCGCGGTGGCCCATACTGAACCGGACGGCCAAGTTCCCCACTTACCAGATCCTAGGGTCACATCATCCGGGAGTTGGGACTGGAAGCCATCGTATCGGTTCGCGTCGGCCTCGACTACTACGACAGCGACCAGTACCTGATATACGTGAGTCGATTCACGTCCTCGCGATGAAATACAATGCACTGTCACGCCCGCAAGATAGGGGGCAGTTATTTTACGAAGCTGGACCTCTCGGTCGATTTACTTACTTCTTGTAATTTGTGAAGAATGAGGCAGACTACCAGCCAAATACTCACGGAGCGTTTATAGTAGGGCTCGACGTAGAACACTGAAAATCAAAATGATTTTTCGGGTATGAGTAACATACCATTTTAGCAATCCCAAAAACACAACTCTTACCGCGACGCGATGCTTGGTAAGCGCAAAAAGAAAATGCGGGTGGAATTCCACATCAAGATTCCTGCGCCTAAGACCATGACGTCATTGGTTTAGAAAGCGTCTGCTGGGTTCTGCGTATGTTCTAATAAATCAAAATGAGATAAATTGTCACCTGCGGGGACCATGGACTTGGCATACAAAGTTTCAGAAAACTTGTCAACCGAATTTTGCGAAATTTGTGGACACATTTTAAAATTTTTGACGTCACGTGCGGAGATTTTGGCGCAAAATTTAAAAGTGAAACTTCAACCTTGATTTTCTTAGCTAAAATATAAACTTATTGTAAGGAGAGATGTGGAATTAGATTTTTCAGACTGCAGTTTATCAACCTAAAACAACAAACTGTTTCTCTTTAGTGTTCATTTAAGGAGTCCGTCGAGGTTCACACCAGATGGCTGAGCGGCAGTTGATTGCGTCCGCGACTAAGAAAATAGTTCGGCTGATTGACTGCGCACTCTTCTCCGATGGCGGAGTCCTCGGCAGTCTGACTTATGCATTCGATCAATACATTCAACTGATAAGAATAACCAGAAAAAAAGCATACGTATTTCGCCTTGGACATTCTCAGGCTGAATTCGCCGATCACAAGAAACGGTACCAGTTTTTACCCATTCGGGGAACTGTAATTTTACTACTTTACGGACGATGCCGCGTTGATGTCCTCACAAACTGTCGTTATTATGGCGTCACTGTCGACTCCACCTGACGTTTCGCTCTTAGCATCACTTTGTGTGTCTGCGAGGTCTCGTGACTTTATAACTTTCGCTTTCACGTCGACGGTGGCCGACGCCGGACACCAAACTTCGTAGGAGAAGCTCCTTAAGCCCGCACCCGGCCCACCGTGACCACCATCACCGTCGAAGCTCCCCGCACCAGGCAAGTGCGCCGAGCAAAACAACAGGTGGGCGTTCCTGGCGCAGTGGAAGCGCAGGTGCGGTGGCAGGTGGCTCGGGCTGCACGACGCGCACCACCCACTCATTCGCTCAGTTGTTCCGCCCACCGAGTGCAACAAACGCTCTCCCCACCCGCTCCCCACCCTACCGTCGTCATGAAAGCCAGCAGCGAGCTCAGGAGCGCAGTAATTCGCTTCCCATTTCTGACTACCTTCGACAACAGTGTAGCTCTGACCGACTGGACTTGCTCTACGCCATCTACTGACGCCGACAAGAGCTCTCGCAAGTGGTGCCCTGTCCTCGGACTCCTGTGACCATGTTTCCATCTTTTCTATCTCTCCTATCCCCTCGATATGTCGTCGTTCTCTGGCATACTGCTTCTCTCTCTCTCTCTACATCTTTATTCCTATCCTTTTAATCCCTCCTCACCCCCATCCCTTGTGATCTACTGTTGAGGGGTCGCTCCCTGAAGCAGTTACGGGGCTCACTTTTCTCTTACTTTCTCTCTCAGAACCACTTAGTAGTAGCGTCCCATTTCTAAAGAGCTTCGTTCATCCGTTGTATTCGTACACGGATCAACTGCTAGTTCTTACTCGTAATATGTACGAGGCTATCATCTAGATGAATAGGATGTTGCGGACTGGCATCTGAAGTGGAATCAGGCTTATGATGTGCGGCTGCTACTGCCTCATGGTACCATTTACCTGACATGGCCGATGACCGGCGGCTGTGTTCTTCTCGCGCAGATCGGCCAGCCATCGTTCGGCGTGGAGCCGCCGGTATTGCGAGGCCGCTACCGGTCACCCTACTTCCGAATACTGCACCGTTACAAGCTGTACATGTACCGCTGCGCGCTGCTCATGGGCTCCAACGTGGCTGCAGCCGACATAGTAAACGACATTGTCGCCTTCGAAGCGAGGCTGGCCTCCGTGAGTTTCATGTCTGTATATGTATATATAAATGGTTCTTGAAGGAAAGGAAAAACTGGCAGATCCCACGTACGGTGGGCATCGATGATATGCGAAGTATGAACGAGAAAGGTTGATACGTCATTTTGAAATCAGAACAACGTTAGGAGGTGAAGGTAAATGATGCCGTACATGACTTCCATGTCACGATTATCATGTTTGAATGTGTCGTTTACCTTCGTCATCTATTCACGCCACGTGATACCAAATTTAGTATATGTGAAGCTAGCGAAACGGCCGTGACCACGCTATGAGCGTGGTAAGTTCTCATGTTCTTACATGACATGCGTGTCAGGATGATCATGTTTGCACCAATTATATTCTTTCGTCATTCATTCACGTCACTTAACACCAAATTTGGCATATGTGAAACTAGCTAAACGACCGCGAGCGCATCATGAAGGGCCCATTATACTCTAATGTAGCGTTGACGCGCGCGTACGCTGGGCACAGCGACACTGCGTTAGCAAAACGCAAGCACTCTATTGTCTGACGACAGGCGCCACCGGCGCGACCAGCGTCCATCAGCGTGGTCCAACGGCAACCGTTGCGAAATGCGAGACATGTTGCATTTCGCACCAATGCGTTACCCAGACAACACTGCGTCTCCCCATTTTGTGACGGAGGGACGCCAGACGCGCTGAAATGCGCATGCGTCATAGCAACGCAGCGCGCGCCTGCGAGTATACGGCTAGGGAGCCTACATGAACGGCCGTTTTTAGGGTGAAGACATCTTAAAAAGTGCCTTCAAGAAACTCAGCCAAAACCAGCGGGCAACGGGGCACGCTGTTGCCAGCTTCCACCAAATTCAGCATAGTTTTCTGTGCGCCGCCATTTTGGAGCAAGCCGCCGCTCCCTCCAGCTATACGCGAAGTACGGCGCAACAAAAAAAAGCCGACCGAGTCACAGCGGCGGTTCTCAGGGTCGTGTAAGCGACACAGTTCTCAAAGTGAGCGCACGAAGAAATTCGCAGCCCTCACACAAACACTTGCGACATAATACTGAGATTACGCTGACACGAACGCAAGCGTGGCAACAGCTCAGACTAGCGAGCGCGTCTCCGTACGAACGCGCGGATGCGTCCCGTTTGTGGGCTTCCTACTCGCAATGCGTGGACGCAGCAACGACAACTTCGGTTATCTACTCATTTGCGAACACCGCGAAACACATATACGTGTGCCGCAGGAAAAATCAGTGAACGAAATATGCAGTACTCACAGAGCAAATACGAGACGCACTGGTGGGCTCCCAGCCGTCTCGCTTCACTTGAGCCAGCCATAGTTGTCGTCGGCCAGGGCTCGCTGGGAAGCGGAACATTCGCACCCCCTTTCTGTTGTGGTTAGTGCAGAGAGATACTCAGCATCCAGGCATTCTCAGGCTTCACCAGCAGCGTTTAACGCGCTACCGCAACGTTCGACGCCGTATTATTGAGAACCAAATCAACCGGGCGTAGACGCAGTGCGGGCACCAAGATGGGGCGACAGCGCGGCGTGTCTGGCAACATTGTGTTTTGGTGGGCGGCGGTGCGTTGGCGGCATGTAGTGGGTCAAAGGCTGACATCACCCTAAAAACGGCCGTTCATGTAGGCTCCCTATAGCTAGGACCCGGGCAGCTAGGACACGGCAGCTAGGACCCGCGCCTGGCGTCTCAACGCCGGCGTGACGCGTCGAAATGAACGCCGGCGAGCACGCTCACCGCGTCACGTCACTATCCGAAATGTTCACTTCTCCTCTTTGTGCGGTATACAGGCGGCCGAAAAGTATTAAGGATGATTTAATAAATTCAAGTGTAGGCATAAAACCTCAAAAAGGGTGTCGTTTTTGCAGAAAACGCAGATGCAACGTATGCTAACACACGCAGACAATGACAGTGGCGGAAAGCACCCACTCGGGTTTTAAGCAGAGGATATGTGGGGCTGTAGACTGTGACTCATACAACGTCATATACCTTCTGGAATGTGGGGCATGTAACATGCAATACGTCGGCCAGACAAACACTCCGTTTAGAATTAGATTCAACAACCATCGGGCACATGTACGTTCCCTGCCAGGCCTTCAACTTTCAAAACACAGTACATTGAAAGACCACAGCTTTGATGACATCAGGGTTACACTAGTGGATAATAATTTTCGAACAATCATAGAACGGTAGCAACGGGAATCTTATTTCATCTACAAATTTACCACTATAAAAAACAGAATAAATGAACACGTACCCAGGCATGCTTCTTTCCAACCAATCCTCTACCTTTAGCTTCCCATTGCGACAATAATATTACCCCCTAACAAAGCTGTAAGCGTATGCATCTGACAATATAAAATTGATTGGCTGCTTCAAGCTCAGCCGGAACGCCCAGATAAGTGGACCTGGATGTTGTACAGTCTTTTCTTCTTTCTTTATTTTTTTCTTTCTCTGTCTCACTTTTTTAACTCACCTTTCTTTTTTCTTCACTGACAGGAGCCAATGCATATAATGCATATTGACGGCGGTGCCACATTACCGTTTTTTTATGGCGGCGCCATCCACACGCACTCGAAGCGCTTAAGTTTCTCCCCACTGATTTGTAGTAAGCTTCGAAAGTGGACAAACCGCCAGCGTATTGCACCGGAAGGTGCAATACTAAAATGGTTGTCACACTGTCAACTCGGGGGAAGGGTAGATGTGTGGGAGGTATTGTTGACAATGATGGCATGACTCTTTTACGTTCGCCTTACACTGTTGAGATGCAGTCTCTTCCTAATCCCCTCGTGTTTTTCGTGCTTCTTCTCCTAGATTTATTTAATTTTTTTTTAATTTTTAACGTTTCTTTCACCAGTTTCTTTTTCTTTCATATTTTCCTTCTGTCCCCTTCCCTCCTGTCTCCAGAAGCTATGTGAATACTATTATGCATTGAAAGAGACCATATATATATATATATGTATATATATATATATATATATATATATATATATATATATATATATATATATAATTATATGGTCTCTTTCAAGGCATAATAGTAAGGCATAATATATATATATATATATATATATATATATATATATATATATATATATATATATATATATATATAATAAGGGAGAGAAGTGTATACCTAAGGGCTCGTATTTCCGTGTTTTAACACAATATTAATGAGATATAACAGACAGTAATGCCAAGGAATGTACAGGGGAAGTTATTAGTTATTAGAACCAATGGAATGTAAATAAGCAGAAAGAAGAAAGAAAAGTGGATGAAAAAATTACCAGCTGTGAGCAGGAATCGAACTTACGACCTTCGAATAACGCGTTCGATGCTCTAACCACTGAGCTATCACACCGGCCGTCCCTCCATCCACTTTTTGGGGTTTATATGTGAATTTAGAAGTAGGAGTGACAGTCAGCGCCATCTATAAGCCGAGCGACGAGTGTGAAAACACTCTTATTCGCATGTTTGGCGTCACGTAGTACGTGAGCTTATTATGAGTGGGCAGCTGATTAATTGTCCATCTTATACAACCTAAACACACCAAGTCTGCCAGTACGAGACCCTCGTTCAATGAAATAAGGGAGAGAAGTGTATACCTAAGGGCTCGTATTTCCGTGTTTTAACACAATATTAATGAGATATGACAGACAGTAATGCCAAGGAATGTACAGGGGAAGTTATTAGAACCAATGGAATGTAAATAAGCAGAAAGAAGAAAGAAAAGTGGATGAAAAAATTACCAGCTGGGAGCAGGAATCGAACCTACGACCTTCGAATAACGCGTTCAATGCTCTAACCACTGAGCTATCACAGCGGCCGTCCCTCCATCCACTTTTTGGGGTTTATATGTGAATTTAGAAGTAGGAGTGACAGTCAGCGCCATCTAAAAGCCAAACAACGAGTGTGAAAACACTCTTATTCGCATGTTTGGCGTCACGTAGTACGTGAACTTATTATGAGCGGGCAGCTGATTAATTGTCCCTCTTATACAACCTAAACACACCAAGTCTGCCAGTACGAGACCCTCGTTCAATGAAATAAGGGAGAGAAGTGTATACCTAAGGGCTCGTATTTCCGTGTTTTAACACAATATTAATGAGATATAACAGACAGTAATGCCACGGAATGTACAGGGGAAGTTATTAGAACCAATGGAATGTAAATAAGGAGAAGATGAAAGAAAAGTGGATGAAAAAGTTATCAGCTGTGAGCAGGAATCGAACCTACGACCTTCTAATAACGCGTTCGATGCTCTAACCACTGAGCTATCACAGCGGCCGTCCCTCCATCCACTTTTTGGGGTTTATATGTGAATTTAGAAGTAGGAGTGACAGTCAGCGCCATCTATAAGGGACGGCCGCTGTGATAGCTCAGTGGTTAGAGCATCGAACGCGTTATTCGAAGGTCGTAGGTTCGATTCCTGCTCACAGCTGGTAATTTTTTGTCCTAATCGCTAATATATATATATATATATATATATATATATATATATATATATATATATATATATATATATATATATTAGCGATTTTTTGCGTGTTTAAGTAGCTAATTTTTTATTAAAAGAAAAAACTTTAGACAAATAGAGAAATGACACCTTCTTCATTTTCTTTTTCATAGTGATAGTAGACACACGAAAATGGGACCGTCAGGAAATTGTGATTTGCCGTCAGGCACTTCGGTGGCATTTTAATAATAATAATAATAATAATAATAATAATAATTGTGGTTTTACGTCTCGAGCCCACAATATGATTACAGGGGGCACTTTTTTAGAGAGCACTAAAAATTCCGGCCATCCGGTGTTCTTTAGCACCTGAATGTAAATACACAGGCCTCTTGCATTCTGTCTCTATAAAAATGCCGCCACCGTGGCTGGAATTCGGTACCATGAGTTTCGAGTCAGCACTCGAGCTCCGTAACCATTGAACAACCGGGGCGGATCTTAAGTGGCATTTTAAAGACGACAGTCTTTTTTGGGATACTTGAACGCAGACATATTTGTCTGTCTGTCTGTCTGCCTGTCTGTCTGTCTGTCTGTCTGTCTTTCTGTCTGTCTGTCTGTCTGTCTGTCTGTCTGTCTGTCTGTCTGTCTGTCTGGCTGGCTGTCTGTCTGTCTGTCTGTCTGTCTGTCTGTCTGTCTGTCTGTCTGTCTGTCTGTCTGTCTGTCTGTCTGTCTGTCTGTCTGTCTGTCTGTCACACAATTCAGCCACCCGGCTAAAGTTTAAGCACTTGCTGAACGGCCAGCCATCTTGAACTGGCGGCTGTGTTCATACTTGTGAACACGGTCGATCAAGTAGCAAGTATTACGCACATCTGAAGCGCGAAATCAATACATAAGTATTAGGCGGCGTGTTTCTTTACTAAAAATTACACAGATACGTAATTTTAAAAAATCACGACATATCCATGGAGTTCATGATGATGAATGGGCCGAAGCATCCGTCAGTCCGTTTGTGCGTCCGTTCGTGTGTCCGTCTGTGCGTCCATCCGTCCACCCTTCCGTGCATCCGTCCGCGCGTTCGTCTGTGTGTCCGTCCATTCGTGCATCTGTCTGTCTATCCATTTGTCCATCCGTGCGCCTGTCCATCCGTCCGTCCATCCAGTGAATTCTCCAAGTAAAGCCATCTCGCATCTTTTCATCATATATTCATCATATAGAAGTACTGCCATCCAGCGGACATTCCAAGGACTAAACGTGAGGTGAACTACAGGAGTGGCACGCGCACTTTCTTACGGCCTGCACTTCATGTGTAGTTCCCAGCTTTCACCGCCGCTAGTTCACGGCGCTGCGGCCCAACCTCGCTAAACCTTGCTAAAACCAAGGTGGTTATTTCCAGCGAGTTTAACGTGGCAACCCTCTCTGGTCAGATAGTGCTCAAAGTGCGTCCTTCTGTTACTAGTTTTTTTTTAGTAAGCATCAAACTCAAGGCAAATTTAACTGTAAGTTAAGTCACTGATACTCGTCTCTATAGGTTATTTCATCAGAAACAACTATCTTTTTGATTTATGATAAACGTGCGTGGGTTTCCCCCTCAATTCAAAAGAGTGCGCGTACGCCACTCCTCTACAGTGGCCATGGAGGTGGCTACCCGCTTCGCCCCTAAAATCCCAGTGCTGCGCTGTGCGGGGCGGCGCGATACCCGAACTGAGGCCGGCAGAAGAGTGCCGTCTTTCGATGACATTCACATCGAAACATGCAGATACGCGGTCAATTTTGTTTTCTCTTTGTTCATTGTGAACAAAACTGAAATTAATAAATATTCGTTGGACAAACGATGCGTCTCTCGAGTGAGCATTTTGACGAGTGCACTGAACTGCCCGAACTTCAGCACTCCTGCGAAAATGTCGGCTCCAATGACGTCTCTCGTTCAACTACTTTCCATCGCACAGTGCTCACTGGACGTCCATTTTTTTTTTTTGCATTTTTCAAGTGCAAGCAACGTCCTCTATTTGACGGTTGTCGCGGGCTTCGTAAATATAGCCATCGTGCGCTAATTGCTCTTGTTATACTTCACAACATCAACAAATAGTAAAGCAACTTCGCCCCAGTGATGCCAAGCTTGAATAAATTGCAGAGATCCGTTTCTCGTCAGTTTTCTTTTCATTTGTTGTTTTTTTCTCTTTCTCTTCCTGTTTTTGTTTCACCCTTTTTTATTCTTTCTATCTCTCGCTTGCGTCTTTATTCCCCTCATTTTTACATATGGTATCATATGCGTTACGCTAAGCGACCACGATACCAAGCCAGGGCCCCTAAAGTACTTCATGGTTAATCGTCAAGGCGCTTTAAATACAGAATGAAGACGACGTCATGGCGCGAGCGAGTGCTCGATATGGTACACGTGGCTATGCTATGCATGGTTTGGCCTGCGTTACAAGCCAAGTATACTGACAGCATGCAACAGCATGCGACATCAAGTCACTAGAGTGTTCTTGAAGACTGTAAAACACCGTCTTCGTAACTCTTGCTGCACTAGACAATCTCGTAGTCACGGAAAGAAACTAGAGGACCACAGCACACATGTATGTGTTTCTGACATTAAACGCTACACGGCGTGTACTGTCTAGGCGTATACTTACACGTTACCTTGAAACTTCTGCGCAGATAACCGAACCAGCAGGCGTCGTCGACAACCCGCGAAGGGTCTACAACCTCATGGCCCTGAGAACGCTGGAGGGCGCCATACCGGAGGTATACAGATCAAGCCACTCTATATCTCATAGGCTGTGTTGAGTTTGTCGTCTTGATCATGTCGATATCGCTTATCTGCACATCCGTAAAGTCGCTGGTTCCCTTCGGCTAACGCTAAAAGTATGATATTTAATTGATAACATGGACTATTGAGGATTACCGTTCCAAAGCTACGATGAGATTGTGAGAGATGCCGTAGCGGAGGGCTCCAGAAATTTCGTTCACCCGGGGTTCTTTAACGTGCACCTAATTCTAAGCACACGTGCCTCCAGGCTTTCACCTCCACCGAAAATGCGGTCGCCGCGCCAGGAATGCGATTGAGGGAGAGACAGGCGAGAGAATATGCTCTATGAAGCACTATTAGTTCGCTTTGAATCTCCCATGGTTAATAATATTGCACGGTGGCTCACCTTTATACTGGAACGTTTAACGCCACATTAACTGGTGCTACAAGATGTTGATCGTCATTACATTGGTACTTAACGGCAGGAGACTTTTTGTACTACCCGTGTTAGCGGCGCGCTTGACGCTAGCTTTTTCTACTGATAAGGATTTCACCTTAACGACGAGCCTCTATTCGTGTGTCTTGATCTTCGTCTCTATCGTGGAATAGGAACGAAGCGCCGTGCTCCGTATTTTCTTCATTTACGCTTGTTCGGTAGTCCTCACTATGCAGGAAACTCGAAAAAAACTGACTTGAAGTACGTAAGACCCTGTAATCCCTGCTTTCTTCCATTCGTATAAAATTCATGTGGCGCTCAAAATTTAGTGGTCAATGCAGGGATTAAAAAAAAGGTACCAAGGCTCAAAATTTTGTTTAAATAAACGAACAATGTTTTAAATAATCTCATTAACAAGAATACCACAAATTAATCGCTACAATCACTCTTATATTGCCGAAGACCTTTCGAAAACATGCTTCTAACACCCGCGCCGTGCAAGACAGTATGCCACCACCTCGCCAAGCTCGCGATTGCTCATCCCATCGGCGCTTCTCCGGCGCCTTCGTCTCTACACTTAAGGGCGGAAGCAACCTGACGAAACTCGTTGCATATGACACGTATTTCAAACACCGGAAGAAGCCGGAAACGGCTAAAACCATAGAGTTTCATACAATGATACCTATAGGGGAATGTGGCGCTAATGGCTGCGCTGGCTCCTTCAGCAGCGCTTGTACCCCCTTGGGAACTATGGGAAGTACAGGATTCGGATTCACTTTAGATAGATCACAATCTTGAGATTCGCGACGCTTCTTTTCAGAGTGCAAAACAAAGTGATATGAACCTAAATTTATTTGAAGCTTGCTTCAATTGTTCCTACGCAAACTTTATTGTAAAAATTTTTTGTGACCAGGCGACAAAAGTGAAACCTGGGCAAATTCCATCATCAGGGTATGCATCGCTCTGCCATCGCGTTCCAGATTTGACATCAAAATTTATTGAATTATTTTTTATGTAACGAGGGCAGTGGGCATGGAGCTCGAGTATAGAAAAGGAAGAAGACTTGCTGGGATCGCAAGCTTGATTCAATCTTCAATTATTTGTTTAGTTTAATATTCCTTTTTAGTTAATTATTATTTTCTATTACATCATTAGTTTTTTCATTAAGGATAAACCTTTTAATATATCTCATATAGGATACTTCTAGATTTCATGGCCAATCCCCCATAGTGGGTATGTGCCAGTGCGAAGGGGCAACAACAACAACAACAGCAAGCTTGCGCTCAGTTAGCCCTTGCGCTAAATAAAGCTCTCCTTCGCCGAGTCAACTCCTGCTTGTTCAACAACCCGTTTCAAGTGGTAGAAGTGCTGGGTACATCTGGTCCTCACCCTGGAACTTCGCAGCCGCACACTCCAACGACCTCCTACAATGACTGATCCGGGGCCATCTCATGCTGCTACTCCAGATCTCGCACCTGTGCGGTCTTCTGCGCTGGCGCTCTCCGGCAGCGCGACCCCCCCCCCCCATATTTGGTGGCACAGAGGACCAAGATGTGGACAACTGTATTGCCGAGTATGAACTGGTGAGCGCCGTCAATAAGTGTAACACAGCCGATAAGCTCACAAATGTGAGTTTTTACCTGACCGACGTGGCAAAACTATGGTACAGAAATCATCAAAGTGATTTCAGTACCTGGTCGGAATTGTCGAAAACCCTCGCGGAAGTCTTTGGCCGTCCTGCTGTCCGCCGCCTTCGTGCTGAACAGCGCTTGCGGCGCAGAGTACAGAGAGCAGATGACACACTTTCACGAGCTACATCGAAGATGTGCTATTTCTCTGCAAGCTCGTCGATTCGACTCTGGACGAGGCAGGCAAGATCAAGAACATCATGAAAGGAATCGACGACGGTGCATTCCAAATGCTGGCTGCAAAGAGTCCCCAGACGGTCGCCGAGGTTATTCAGCTCTGCCAAAGCTATGATGAGCTGCGTAGGCAGCGCGCTTCTACACGTTGCGCTGCTCAAGACACCGCGGACATCTCATCCCTCAACTATCGCCATGACACCGCCGACCACTCTGCGTTGATGCCAGTCATAAAGCAATTCATACGCGAGGAGGTCGCCCGGCAGCTATCTATAATCACAAGAACTACCGAGCCGATGGCACCCTTGTCGCCTTCGCTTCGCCAGGTCATTCAATCGCAAGTTGCCGAAGCATTGCCGCCAGCTCATGCTCCACCAACTGTTACCGCACCACTAACGTATGCAGCCGCAGTTGCTCGGTCACGTGCGCCAGCGTCTCCTACCATCTACGAAGCTACTAGCCACGTTTATCCGTCGACGCCACCTTCCCGCTCGCTGACCGTCCCGTCTCCGGCTGTATATGAAACAGTTCAGAACGTTTATATGACGCCGCCGCCTGCACGACCATTTACGGTACCTTATTCAGCGAACAATGCCCCTATCGTCAGTCAATGGCACACTCCGGATAATCGGCCGATATGTTTTTCATGTGGCATCCCAGGCCACGTAGCTCGTCACTGCCGTCGTCGCAGCTTCCCTTCTCACGACATTGCAGGGGCCTCACATTACATGCCCACCATGCCCACTCAGCCGCGATATCCCGTTCCTGGCGATCCACCTCTAGACGTACGTCCCGGTCGCCGACCATCCGGCTCAAGTCGTTCACCTTCTCCTCGTCGTCGATCTATTTCTCCGATGTTACGTCGCAACAGCCCACCGCGAGGGGAAAACTGACGGGCGCAGTTCCGGAGGCAAGAACTGCGTTGGCAGCGAAAATTTCAAGACCTAACTGCTGTCCCCCGAACGAAATCGAACTCTATATTGATGGCATTAAGGTGCACGCACTTGTCGACACTGGAGCTGCCGTATCTGTAATTAGCGAGAAACTGTGCCGAAACTTGAAGAAAGTGACCACAAAACTTACCGACCTATCTTTGCAGACAGCTACGTCCCATCATATTCAGCCTTCAGCTTTGTGCACTGCACGAGTCGTCATTCAAGGTGCGATGTACGTCGTCACATTTGTAGTTTTATTCCGTTCTTCGCATGACGTTATCCTTGGGTGGGACTTTCTTTCGTCAAATTCTGCTTTGGTCGACTGTGCTCGTTCTGAACTCGCGTTATCTGTGCCATGCTATGACCCCGAAGATTGTGCTTCGTGTAGAGTGTTTGCTGCTTCTGACGTTGACATTGTGCCTTTCTCAGCTGTTGTTGTCTCGGTGTCGTGTGCCTCCCCTCCGAAATCGCCTGTGTTGTTTATGCCATCGGTGCCATCTGCGTGCCGTCGAAATATCATGCTTCCGTTTGCCGTCGTCATTTTTCGCAATGGTCACGCTGCCATTTATGTGTGCAATCCCTCGGACAGCCCGTCATCCGTACTTCGTGGAGAATTCCTGGGAAGCTACGAACCTTGCGAGTGCATTCTTCTGGCTACTATACCCGATTCAACGGTTTCTCTCCCAATTTGTGCTGTCACTCCTACCAACGCGCCTAATGATGCTCTGGACGTATTCTCGGATGCCATCGACTCTGAACTCGCACCAGCTCAGCGCGAAGAAATTATAAATCTTCTTCCCCGCTTTTGTTCTTCATTCGATCGTGACCAGTCAGGCTTAAGCCGAACCTCTGCGGTCGTTCACCGTATTGACACCGGTCAACAAGCCCCGCTAAGGCAGCGTCCGTAACGTGTGTCATCTGCTCAACGCCGTGTCATCGACGAACAAGTGGACGACATGTTGAAACGTGGCATCATCGAGCCCTCCAACAGTCCCTGGGCTTCACCGGTTGTTCTCGTCAAGAAAAAAGACGGATCCATCCGGTTCTGCGTTGACTACCGCCGACTCAACAAGATAACGCGCAAAGACGTATACCCTCTGCCACGCATCGATGATGCTTTGGACTGCCTACAAGGAGCAGAGTTCTTTTCTTCGTTAGATTTACGCTCCGGCTACTGGAAGGCGCCCATGGCAAAGGGTGACCGCCCGAAGACAGCCTTTGTAACACCGGATGGACTATATGAATTCACCGTTATGCCCTTTGGCCTCTGCAATGCGCCTGCCACTTTCGAAAGGATGATGGATACCGTCTTGCGAGGTCTGAAATAGAAAACGTGCCTCTGTTATTTGGATGACACTGTGGTATTTTCAAGCGACTTTGCGACCCACCTCAGCCGCCTCGAGCAAGTTCTTACGTGCCTTTCCACGGCGAGACTTCAACTTAACTTGAAGAAATGCCACTTCGGCGCTCGCAAGCTTGTAATTCTCGGCCATGTGGTTTCTAAGGACGGCATTCTCCCGGACCCTACGAAACTTAATGCAGTCGTGGCGTTCCCAAAGCTAACCACCATCAAAGAGCTTCGAAGCTTCATCGGCCTATGTTCTTACTTCCAGCGCTACGTCCGCAATTTCGCCTCCATTATCGCCCCCTTGACCAATCTTCTTGCCGGAAGTTCTGATTTGTCAGCGTGGTCGCAGGCGTGTGATGATGCATTTCAGGAACTCCGGCGGCTCCTCACCACGCCTCCCATACTCCGACATTTC